AATGGTAAAGTACTATAAAAATGTGATGTTTTATCACGAATACAATTTTTCAAAATTTTCTTTTGTTTTTGAGTTCTACAATTTTTTAATTTTTAAAAACCAACCCATTATGAAACCATTTTTCTCATGAAGGTTATCATATAAATTTTACAACTATCTACTTTATATTAAATTTGCTCAAAAACATTTTTTACATAAATTGCAATTTTGACAAAAAAAATTTCATAACTCAAAAACAAAACTTCGTTTTCAAAATACTTTATTTTATAATTATTATTATTTTTTGGAGACAAATGATTTTAAAAAACCGCTTGGTTCCATATTTCACCCTGTATATATTTTTTTAATTTTGAATTTGGACTGGTGAAGGTATTTTTTTAAGCTACCAGATTTATAATATTTTATTCCTTATTGATTTGTAGGAGTTTGTGACTCAAAAATATTGTTTTTGAGACGGTTGTTTCGTCTTTTTTTAGTAAAATAAAAAAAATAGAAAATAAAATTTAAATTAGTTTTTAAACAAAAAACGTGCTAAATCATTCGGAAAAGTCTGTTTTAAAGCTAAATCGAGGATTTTTTGCTTTTTCGACAAAATACGTTAAATTACGTATTTCTAGCTCAAAAATGTTTCAAATCTTCTTACATTACGTAATTTGCGTTTAAGAAGGCGATATTCTTTTGACTTGTTTGTAATAAAATACGATTGAAGTAACTTTTTGAGATAAAATAAGACATGTTAAATTGTTCGAAAATGGCTTAGTAGTCCAAAAATGCGTTAAATTTATCTCAGAAGACTAAAATTGCATAATTTAAACCTGAAATAACTCAATTAATCGTTGTTTTTGACTTGTTTTTAGTAAGTTTCTGAGACAAAAAACACTCTAAATTGTTTTAAAAATTACCGAAATTACGTAATTACGATGTTTTTTTTTTTTTTTTTTGGGGCAATTTAAGTGAATTTCTTCTTACTCCAAAACAAAAATAAAAATCGATAAATTGCTAAAGTAGCGTAATTGAGACGGTTTTTTCGTCTTTTTTCGTCAAAATACGTCGATTTAAACATGTTTCTTATTCAAAAAAAAACGTGCTAAATCATTCGTAAAAATATGAAAAAGTCTGTTTTAAAGTTAAGTCGAGGATTTTTTGCTTATATCGACAAAATATGTCTATTGATTTAAGTGAATTCTAGCCCAAAAACGTGTCAAATCTCCTTACATAACGTAATTTATGTTTAAAAACGCGCTTTTTTTTTTGGCGTGTTTGTAATAAAATATGATTTAAGTAACTTTCTGAGACAAAATATGACATTCAGAGTTAGAATAAATTTTTTTTTGACTTGTTTCGGCAAAATACGTTGATTTAAGTGTATTTCCGGTTCAAAAACTTGATAATTCGCTCAGAAATGTCTGAAAAAAAAACTCGCAAAATTGATGAATGAATGAACGATGATTTTTTTTTTGGTAATTTAAGTGAGTTTTTGTTCTTAAAAACGTGTTAAATCGCTCAGTAAACAGTATAATTCAGATCTAAAATTGTTTTTTTGTCTTTCTTTCAACAAAATGTTGACTTAAATGAGTTTCCGGTTCAAAAATTTGTTGAAAAAAATGTTGAACTCCGTAAAAATCATTCGAAAATTACTGAAATGAAATTATTCATGTCTCAAACGACGATTTTTTGTGTTGTTTTGGTAGTTATCGACTCAAAAACGTATTAAACCGCTCGGAAATGGATGAAATTGCACAATTAGATATTAATTAAGAAAGATTCTGCCTGAAAAATGTGTTCAGAAAATGCTGAAAAAAATCCAGATCTAAAACGAAGATTTTTTTGGCTTATTTTAGCCAAACACCTCGAATTTAAAGAGCATATTGCTAAAAAAAATGAACAAATAAAAATGACATAAAAAATCATGCTAAACAGGCCAAAACACTATAAATCGTGCCTAAAACAACGATTTTTTAGACTTTTTTCACAAAATACGTCGATTGAGGTGACATTTATATTTAAATTTTTCATCTTTATGTATTTAAAATTTTAAAATTAGTTTTTTTAAACGTATAAGTATCAACCAATCTCAACTTTGGCACCACTGGCAAATTCACTTTAATAAAGGAAGTTGGCAGTTCCGGTTTTTGATTTAGTTTGAAAAAAATCGTCGAAAATCGGGAACAAATTAGCTACCGTTAAAAAGTCCAAATTTTGACATTTCAACATGAAATTTCTAGGGTTTTGTATGGAGATAAGTTGGTAGCATTTTTTTCACCAAAATTTTGACTTTGAAAGAAATTCGATGATTTATTCATTGTTAATCATCTCAGGTTATCAGATAAGGCGCGTTTCGCATACGACGGCCTTAAACGCCAACGTCTCGTCGCCCCCATGCTCAAGTCCACCAATGGCGACCTCAAACCCGTCGACTGGGAAACAGCCCTACTTTCCATCGCCAAAGTAATGAAAAACGCCGGTTCGAGTATTGGCGCAATCGCTGGCGGTTTGGCCGATGCCGAAGCCCTAATAGCCCTAAAAGACCTCTTGAACCGTTTAGGTTCCGAAAATTTGTGCACGGAACACACATTCCCAATGGACGGTTCCGGAACCGATCTTCGATCGTCATACCTCCTCAATAACAAGATCATGGGGGCCGAAGAGGCCGACTTTGCCCTCCTGATTGGAACCAATCCGCGATTTGAAGCCCCACTTTTAAATTCGCGCTTAAGGAAAGCCTACATTCATCGCGAATTGGACGTTGCTTTAATCGGCCCCAAAATTAACCTAACCTACGGTTATAACCATTTGGGGGATGACCCGGAGGTGATTTCGCAAATAGCCTCAGGTAGTCACCCCATTGCGCAGAAATTGAAATCGGCGAAAAAGCCGTTGATTATTTTGGGGGCCGATTTGTTGCAACGCCCCGATGGGGGCGCAATTTTGTCTCAAGTGCAGAGAATCGCATCGGGGACGAGTCCAGTCGAAGGCTGGAAAGTGTTTAATATTTTGCATAAAGTGGCGAGTCAGGTTGCCGCACTTGATGTTGGGTACACCCCCGGAGTGGACAAGATTCGTGAAAGTAGCCCCAAAGTGGTGTTCTTGTTGGGGGCTGATGAGTGTGCTATTGACCGGAGCGACTTACCCGAGGGCTGTTTTGTGGTTTATCAAGGCCATCATGGGGACCATGGGGCTACTATTGCCGATGCGGTGCTCCCGGGGGCTGCCTACACGGAGAAACAAGCCACTTATGTGAACACCGAAGGAAGGGCTCAGCAGACTTTACCGGCGGTCTCACCTCCTGGGAATGCCAGAGAGGACTGGAAGATAATCAGGGCGTTGTCGGAGATTGTGGGGGCACCGTTGCCCTACGACTCCTTGGAGGATATCAGGTGTAGGTTGCATCAAGTTGCGCCCCATTTAACTAGATATGGGGATGCCGAAACTGCGAATTATTTTAAACAAGCCCAGGAATTGGCAAAGGTGAGTGAGTTGGGGGAATTTGAGGTTAGAATTTTATTTTGTTATTTTCTTGCAGAAAATACAAAGTGATAAGATAAGTGGGGCCCCGATTGATGTTAAAATAAAGGAATTGAAGGATTTTTACATGACGGATGCGATTAGTCGGGCTTCGCCCACCATGGCCAAGTGTGTCCAAGCAGTGCTGAAACAGGAGCAGTCAAAATATTGAATAGTTTAGATAATTGTGTTGTATTATAAAAGAATAAAATATTAAACGAAATCAATTGTGTTATTTGGGTGACAATGCGAAAAATGTTGAGTACGGTCCTGACCGAAGCACAGTTGGCAGCACTGCGCATGTCCAATCGATTTTATTAACAAATGTCATGTAGTGTTTGTTTCTGCAAGGAAAATCGTAAATAAAGACAATAAGGTGAGTTTTTACCCAAAACAATGCATGACAATAATCCCCACCGGTGTTTTTGTACCGACATTACGTTTTTTATTATGTTGGTATTACCCTATTTTGGGGTCATGATGAAAAAACAGTGCCGGACCGCATTAATTTTATTTGGGGGGTCGGAATAAAAATTCTTAACGATTTTGGTAAATTATTGGCGTTTCAGAGTTGTAGGTCATGATCATTGATTTTGTCAGGAGTCCCGCATGAGCATGATTCACCGAAAGGTGATGTCACCCCAAACTATCAAATCTAGTTAGCTCGACTCGGCCAAAATTGCGGGAATTTTGATTTTTTTGTCTCAAAATATTTTGTTTTTTGTGTTATTTGAATAAATATATTGATTTTTGCGCGCTCATTGGCGAAGTGTATTGATCTTAGTCACGTGTGCGTTTTGCGCACCCTCCAATATCACACTTGGAGTTTCCGAGACGTCACAAATTCTTCGAGTGTCGGTGGTGGTGTCCATTCGGCACCAAAATGACGAGTACAGATGTTGAAAGTGTTTTGTCGACAAGAAACTAATTGTCATTTTACATCATTCACCACTTGAGAACATTCGGTATGTTTTATTGCATTTTTGCACTTTTGCGAATCGAAAAATTGCCATTTTACCACACACAGGGCGTGTTTAGTTATATTTGATTTTTCAACCGGACAGTCCGGGGTTACCTTTCTACCTTGAAACCGATCGATAAGAAAAAATCACTTATATTACTTTTTCTATGGATCATAATTGATCATTTCTTTGGATTATGTTGGGCTAAGTTTAGTCAAGCGTGGGTGCTAACAAACATTTCCACTAACGTCATCCTGTGGAATGAATTTTTTTATTTATTTATTTTTCTTTTTTTTTTTTTTTCTTTTGAAGGGCAGACTGGACCGGAATTGCGTGACGCAAGTGGCGCCAGCGATGTAATTGCGTTGCTGGAGTATTAATTTTGCACCCACCTCGATTAGGGGTAATTAAGACCTATTTTGCCCTGATGATGGAGTTAAAAAATACAAAACGGCTCCACTATAAATATCGCTAAATTGCCAGGGAATCCCAGGGGACACGTTTACCCCCCCAATGTGCTCTTGTTGGTTTCTTCCACCGCAAATTCTCATTTATTATTCTGTGCTATTACTGAGAAACCATATTTTGCGACTTCGTGTATACTTGAATTCTTTAATACATGTTTAGGAAAATATTTTTTATTTAAGTTGGCAAACTTGGACCCGTCCAAAGTTTTTATCAGCGAATTATATTGAATTGCACTCAAATTGTGTACATTATGGAACCCAGAATAATCAATTATATCTGTTTTTACCTAATTTTTAATTAAAATAGGCCTTAATTGGACACTCGCAGGTCTCTTGATTGTCTTTAATTAAGGTGACTTTGCAAAAATGGATTTCCGAATTCTGTGAATTTCAAGTAAATCGATATTCCCACGTGTCCAAGAAGGTGCTGAGGTACAACGCAGTTTAAAACAGTAGTATTGGGTTTAATTTGTATGAAACGTCCAACTTAAGATTAAGTTGGCAACATTGAATCATGCACACTGAAGCTACCACTTGACTGTTGTAAATTATTATTTCATTTTCGTCGTCGAATAAACCATAAAATTTAATTTGGCAACATTGAATGTCATATTCAAACGTGAGTTTGTCATTCATTCTCGTGGGTGGGCATAGCCGTCACAATAATTCAGTGTTGCCAATAGTTGTTTTGTTTAAAGGATACTATTGGAGTAACTGATTCATAACAAATTCAACAATCTTGAGAGGTTGTATAACAAATATTTGTCAACCAAAACCCAATTGCAATGTTGCAAATTGCTAACAAAAATATAGAGCGTTTCAAAATGATTGACATCTTGGTGAGTCATGAAAATTCAAATTTAAGGTGGCAACATTGGTACTTTGACAGTTCTTGGTTGTTTATCTTTGTACGATTACAAAGATACGTCTATTTCACAATTTATAATATTTGTCTTTTTTAAGAGATTTTTGTGCATTTTTTTTCTCCCACTTTTCGTTCGTTTCTTCATTATTCACCATGCATATTTCTTTTGTACAATTTGGTTATGTTATTTTTTCTGACAGAATTCAATTGAAATGTCATGTTTTATGACATGATCTAAAGAATGTTCACGTTAGTAACTTTTTTGGAACCAAAATTAAAGTCTGGTTTACATTCTCAACGCCTACCAAGATGTTAATTATTTTGAAACGTTCTATACTTTTAAATCTGTCACTAACAGAAACAGTCATTCTGGATATTAAAATTCAAAATTTTGCGATTTAGGGAGTTTTGTGTTATCACATGACGATTTAAACGTAGACCTTTATTATTTTTTTATCAGTTGAAACAAATGAAAAACGAAATCATAAAATTGACAATTGTCAATACTCAAGTTGTTAATCGATAATCGCAGAATTTAGGGAACAAATATGCAAAACGACGAAAACTGTACCCTTTGAGGGCACTCTTGGCACTTAAAAAAGTCTGTTCAGTCGTAGGCAGTAGTGCCAATCGTAAATTTGAAATTCATTACCAACATAGCAACAATGAAATATATTTTATCTACAAAATGAAAAGAGATGGGTGAGAAAGAACTTGCCCTGTTCATCTTGACTTTTTGATTTTTCAAAAAAAAATTTGAGGTTAGTTCCTTGTTTTTATCTTTTGACGTTTACATCTGGTACCAATCTTAGGAAATAAAATGCTGTTTCATAATGAGTTCTTTTTCGATACTCAAACGAGTTTTAAAATGACGGAACGCAAAGTAAAATTGTATATTAAAAAACGCGTTTCAGTTTGCGAGTTTTATAAGGAACGAGTTCCCACAATTTTTTGTTTCCAATTTTTTTTATTTTGCGCATTTTACGTATTTTTTTCACATAAAAGGCAATTTTTCAAAATGTAGGAACTTTTGCCCTAATAAGGTGGTGGTTGGTAATAAATGTCACAAAGTTTGAAAAATTCGATTTTTGAAGTGTCAAGTGTCGAATATTTTTCAAAATTTTGTTGAATTAACAATGAATAGTGCAAATATTTCATGCACACCACCTGAAATAAAAGAAATCGCTCAAAACGCCGCTGAAAATCACCATTACCAACCTCTAGAAAGTAAATTGTACTAGTCTATTTCAGCACCCGAATTGGTGTTGAAATGACTCGATTTCAGACGCAAAATAGAAAAAAAGAACATTTAATCCTTGCAATAAAAAAGGGATAATATATGGGGATAATTATGCTTTTTATTTATTGTATACTGACTGATATATTGACAATAAAAGTAAAACAAACAATAACACTGTCATTCTTTGTTATTTTTGACCCAAAAATAACGCATTTCGAGCTAGATTTTTTGATTTTTTTTGCAAAAAAGAGTAAATTGAGTGTTTTTTTTGCAGTTTTAGGAAAACAAATAGCAAAAATGTCGTCAGTCAAAGTAGCAGTTCGTGTCCGGCCGTTCAACAACCGCGAAATTTCTCGCGAATGCAAATGCATAATAAAAATGGGTGGAAACACAACTAGTAAGTGAAAATCAACTCGTCAAACCCCAAAACTAACTCATTTTCCGATTTTTAGCAATCGCAAACCCGAAAGCAGACCCAAAAGAAGCCCTCAAGAGCTTTAATTTCGACTATTCCTATTGGTCCCACGATGTAAGTAGATTTTCCCCGTAAAATTTAGTTTTAATTCGAAGTTTAGGAAACCGATCCGGAGTTCTCCTCCCAATTGGTGGTGTACAAAGACATCGGGGAGGAGATGCTCCAGCACTCCTTCGACGGCTACAACGTGTGCATTTTCGCTTACGGCCAAACCGGCGCCGGAAAATCCTACACCATGATGGGGAAACAGGAGGAGGGCCAAGAGGGCATCATCCCCCAAATCTGCAAGGACCTCTTCAACCGGATCCGCACCAATGACAACCCCGACATGAAATACTCGGTCGAGGTCAGTTACATGGAGATCTACTGCGAGCGAGTGCGCGACTTGCTCAACCCCAAGAACAAGGGGAATCTACGAGTGCGCGAACACCCCCTTTTGGGGCCCTATGTGGAGGATTTGAGCAAATTGGCCGTGACGAGTTACGAGGATATCCACGATTTGATCGATGAGGGCAACAAGGCCAGAACTGTGGCTGCCACCAATATGAATGAGACCAGTTCGAGGTCACATGCAGTGTTTACGATTTTTTTCACACAACAAAGGTACGACCAAACGACGACCTTGTGCACGGAGAAGGTGTCCAAAATATCGCTGGTGGATCTGGCGGGGTCGGAGAGGGCAGACTCCACGGGGGCCAAAGGTACGAGACTCAAGGAGGGTGCCAACATCAACAAGAGTCTCACGACATTAGGAAAAGTCATCTCGGCCCTAGCCGAAATTGTGAGTCTCCATTTTCAAATCAAGCGCCATTTTGTATTTTGCAATCTAGGGAATTACAGTTGCGGGGTTGGTACTAAATGCAAATATTAATGAGGAGAGATGAAATTAAAATTATCAATGCATTTAAACCGACTTTGCACCCTGATGTCACCCCTCAAACTAAACTAATTTATTTCTGAATTGACATTTTATTTTTCCCCAAATGTCACTAAACACTAATTTTTATTCACTGTGATTTGTACAAATGAAGCCCCATTCAGTGCCAGTTATTGTGTATTTGATTAAAGTAACGTATTTTTACGAATTGACATTTTGTTTTTCCCCAAATGTCACTAAACGTTGGCAATTCTTGTCACTAATTTTTATTCAAAGTCGATTTATTTCACTGTGATTTGTAC